ATAACTAGCAGGTCATAGGGCATCTGTGGCCATGTAAATCCGTAAACTGGGATAACCGAAGCCCACTTGCGAAGACCTGAATAGAGAGGTAATACAGATCTTCGACAGTACTACTGTTAAGGCTAAACCTAGGAAACAGATACCAATATGGAAGAAATTGGACAGGCAAGAACCTCAGTGAGGGGTACCATCAACTAGGCCGCTAGAAGACTCGAACCAGAGGAAAAAAACCTTGAAGGGCAGACCCTAGGGTACCAGGGACAGGTTACAGTTCTATCAGGCTATCTGGATTGGGAGTTTGAGGTCAGAAACAGGGGTATACTAAAGTACTAGAGATATGCTGTGAAGTCAGTGCTAGGGTCTGGGTGAACTCTGCAAAGGTGAGCCCTATTAGCAAAGATTAAATATGAGTAGTTAGTTAGCAGAGAGGCCTCCTGAAGCCCTATAGTCAGGTGACATACTCTGAAATATGTAATGGCCTGACAGACGTACAGACAGGAAGGTCAAGATTAGGTTAGATGACATCTAATTAGGTATACGGGAGCTTGTGCTGCTATCTGCTAGTGTAGTATAGGGGTAACTTTATACAAGTTATATAATCATAATTGAATTTACAATAAAGGCAGTAGCTGCTATAACTAAAAGGCCTTAGCGTAAGCACAAAAAAAAAAAAATAATTAGCAGATTATTTTAGTCATAATAGTAATTAAATCATCAAATTTGAATAAGTATTTGCTAAGATAGCTAAAACATAATTCTTTCAAAATATTGTGAATATTTCAAAATAATTGCAAAATATTTATAATATTTTAAAAGAATTGCATTTTAGCTATCTTAGCAAATATTTATCCAAATTTAATAATTTAATCACCATTATAACCAGAATGACTTGCTGATCATTTTTTATTAGTGCAATATTGCAAAGTTTCTTAATAAAATTCAGAGATCAGTACAGTCTTTTAAATTTTTTTGTAATATTTTGAAAGAATTGTATTTGATATAAAATATTATAAAAATATTGCAGTTTAAAATTTGGTAATAAAGCTTGAGATAAATATTTATTATATAACTTTTCAATATATTTTCAATTAAATAATTTTGTTTTTTTAAGAATTAAGAATCAGCAAAAAGAGTATTGACAAATTATAATAGTTTATATTAAAATTTTATAAGAAATTTTTTTATTAAAATACAGAAGACAGTTTCATAGAAAAATTTTGAGTTAATGATGATTTTTTAAAAAAATATGATTTTTATATTAAACTTGATCCTTTAATTTAATTGACTATTCATGTATCAGAAAAAATTTTATAAATAAGCTATAGAGGTTTAGAATTAGTATAAAATCATATATTTAAGTTGTGATTAATTATTTACTAACTAGAAAAAAGGATTTCAAATCTCTGTAGATTATCTACAAAATTTTTTCTGATACATGATTATAGTCAATTAGATTGAAGGATTAGGTTTAATATAAAAATCATATTTTTTTAAAAAATTTTTGTTAACTCGAAATTTTATTTATAAAACTGTCTTTTGTGTTCTAATAAAAGAAATTCTTATAATAAGTATAATGATCTAATAAAGTAATTAGATTATCAACCTTTCAAGTAGTAGGTTGGATATTCAAATTCTATTGATGGTAAAAATTTAGATAATCATCTATGTAATATTTATATTACAATAACTGTTACTAATGATTAGATTAGAATATCTGTAATAATAATCACACTAGTATGACTGACAAGTTATAAAGCATCTGTGCAATATTGAAGTTATACAAAGAAATACAAATCGATAACTAGGTAATGCAAATATTAGATAAGTTTTTGTGATCATATAAATCTGTTAAAATTAGATAATAAAAGTTTATTTAGAAAAATCTAAATAGAGAGGTAACTGAATCTTTGATGAGCTACTGTAAAGACTAACCTAAAGAAACAGATACCTAGATCTTAGTAACTAAATAGGCAAAAACCTTCAAATTAGGAGTCTCAAAAATACTACCAATCAGACTGCTAGAATAAACTGAAGAAAAAAAATATTAGGTTGACCTAATATACTAATGAACTGATTATAATTCTATACAAGTTATCTGAATTGAAAATTTGATAAAATTTAAAAGTATACTAAAGTATTAAGATTATGTTATAAAATAAATACTAAGGTCTAAATGAACTTTACAAGAATATAATAGTTTAATGGTTAAACTCTAATTGCAAGTATTGATTTTGCTATAGTGATACCTAGATCAATTATAAAAATAAGTATAAAAGATTTTGAAAAGTTTATCTCAAAAATAAATTAGTCTTAAAGTTGAGATAATGATTTAAACATCTGTATATAACCCAGTGAATTAACACAGATTACAGATATAAAATATTTAAAGTAAAACATCCAAGCAGAGGTATTAAGTATGACAATTGGTAGGGAACCTTTAGGTGGACTCCTTAAATAGGTAATATAGAAAAGTTATATATGTAACCAATTGTATGCTCTTCTGTAATGGTTCATTGAACTACAATACCAATAAGTAATTAAAAGACCAAAAAGGTTACCTTAACACCAAATTTTAGTATAAACTATGCTCTTCCTTATCCTAACCTTAAGATGATGCTTCTTGCTTTAAAATCTTTCACTTAATTCAATTGTTTTGATTTTACATTACATTTGATCCTTTAATATAATTGGCTAAAAATCACATTGTGAAAAAAATTTTGTAAGTAAGCTACTATTAGGCCACACAAATTTAATATCTTGGTTTTTATAACATAAAATTTTTGATCAGACCCAGCCAGCCGGTCGGTTTTTTTTTTAATTTTTCATATATAAATTTTATAAAATTTTTGAATTTTTTTTTTTTTTTTTAAAAAACCCACCCGGTTATTAAAATATATAAAAAAATTTTTTTATAAGCTTTTAAATTTTGACCCGGCCGGGTTATAAAAACCAATTAATTAATTTTGTATGGACGAAGCTATGCATGAAAAGGTTGATGTTAATTGGCCGACTATCATGTGATCAACCCGTACTTTTCCGAAATTTGAGAAAGTCCCCCATGCTCGATAAATCCAATCCGACTGTTAGAACAATTCTAACGCGTATCAAATACAATACTTGAAAGTTTTATATTGTGATAGCATATAAAGTTACTGGTGTCTTTTTCTTGACATTTGTAATAAAGCCGTGCGATGTCATTTGAAAGTTATGACTGGAGTGATATTGTTCCAATTGAACAAGACGATGGGCCTGAGCCACTTGCCCAAATAGCATATGATCCAGAATGTATATTCCTTCGTAATGCCTAATTTGTTGTCTACGAAAGATGTAAAAGGGAAACTAATTTTCATTTACTTAAAATAGATTCAAAAGCTATGGGCTATTTTCGCGCGGTTGCCCAGAAGAATGAACATAGCGAAAGAGCTTTAACTCTCACAGAAAAGATAATTGAACATAATCCTGCTCATTACACTATTTGGTAAGTTTTAAAGCCTTTGACAGTAAATCCATAATGTGGTTCAAGCTTTATTATTATATAAAAGGCACTACCGCCAGCAAATTCTACTCTCTTTGGGTAAAGATTTATATGAAGAATTGGATTTTATTCAGAAACAAGTTGAGCAAAATCCAAAGAATTACCAACTTTGGTAAGAGTTGACTAACATTACCCTCGAAAATGCATAGAATAATGTTAGTAATATATTTTATACGAATTAGGCACCATCGGCAGGTAATTGTCGAAAATCTTAAGGATTGCTCTCTTGAGTTATCATTCACCGAAGAGGTTTTGAACGATGATTCAAAGAATTATCATGCCTGGACTTATAGGTTCATTATAACTCTTTCCTTTTCTTTTGTGATTTTATATTTTTTATTTACTTTTTAGTTATCTTGATAGACAATGGGTCATCAGAACTTTTAATCTTTGGGATAATGAACTATCCTTTGTCGAAAAATTGATAGAAAAGGATATACGAAATAATTCTGCATGGAACCAGAGATATTTTGCAATCTTTTATAATCCTACCAAACCTAGTGAAGAATTTTTAAAGACAGAGGTTGAGTAAGTATAACCATTTATTGATATATTAGTTTCTGTATATATTGATTATAATAAAACTCAAATTACTATATTTAGATATGGTATATCCAAAATTAAATTGGCCCCTAATAATATCAGTCCATGGAATTATGTTAAAGGGTAAAGTAAAATAACATGATCTGCAACGTAGACCTTCTAATTTTATATATTTATACTTTTGTAAACTTCGTAGTGTCATCGCAAAGTCTAGCATGGAAATTACTGTATTGGAAGAGCTTTGTAAAACATATTCCCAGTCAGATCCTATATCACCACATGCACTTGGATGTCTTGTCGACATTTATGAAGATCATGTTAAACGTGGTTTGACTGATAAAAAAGAATTAGGAATTAAGGTATTTCATGAGGCGTTTATATACTATGTCAGAGGGATACGTAAAAGCATGTTAATTTTACTAGATATTTTTTTAATCCTTTCTATTTCATATCCATTTATTGTAACATAATGTTAGACTTGTATTCTTTTAGCAGAGAAACATGACACTATTCGCAAGAAGTATTGGAATTATAGAAATCATGTCCTGGCTTCTATAGCCTGATAAATTTCTATCACTGATATTTTTTATACTCAGTTATTAAATGAAATAGTGCAATGGTTTTTTTTAAAAAAAAAAGTTCCAATTGTATATGTAATGTATTATACTTTATTAATAAAAATGCAAAGAAAAATTATCTCTCAAACTATAGTCAATTTTAGGCAAACCTGACTGGCAAATTATTAGCAATATATTATTTATGATTTGTATTTCTTAAATTTTAAAAATATTTACCACATTGTTAAGAAATAACTGACATGGGAACTATTTAGAATGATGCCCGAACTAAACATAATTTAGACTGAAATCCGTAATTTCACCTTTGCGTGACAATACGGTAAACAAAAATTTAATGTCAATTATTATTTATTGGTGCAGGAAGTCTATATTAAACGGTTATACAAAATGTTTCAATTTTTTAAGTGATTATAACTTTTATCTAAGAGGTTTTAAAAATTTGACCAGTAACTTTATAGAGCTATATCATCTCGACATATGAGCTAAATATCTTTTTAAAATCTCATTATTGTTAAAAGTTGCAATTTGAAAATTGAAATGTTATATAAATGTATAAATTTATACAGTCAGACCTCTCTATAGTCACCTCCTCTATAGTCACATTAGCTTATAATCACATAAATTTTCAAAACCAACTTATATAGCACTTATAAAATTTAGCCTCTATATAGGCACAAACTCTCTATAAGCATCAAATTTTTAAAACCAAGGGTGTGATTATAAAGAGGTTTGACTGTATATAAAAAAAATATTTATAAAATGTGTTAACACTTTATAATAATGAGATTTTGAAAAAATATTTGACATATACAGTATATAAAGTCGATATAACTCTATAAAGTTACTGGTCAGATTTTTTTAAAAAATTTCTTAAATAAAAAGTTATAACTATTTAAAAAAATGAACCATTTTGTATAATCATTAAGTATAAATTTTTTGCTTCTTAGCATAATGTAAAAATTAAGTCTAGATAACTTATATAAGTAATTTTTAATTAGGTTATGTTCATGCTACTCAGATAGTATTTTGATTTAAGTAGGTATTGCTTATATTATTTGTGAGTAAGTAAGTAGGTAACTTGATGTAAATTATAAGTATTTAAATAGTAAACTTATAGGTAACCTGTTGGTTGGTTTACAAATAAACAACTTTTGGTTATCTATTTAGTAGTTAGTCTGCAGATTTTACACTAGTTGCTATATCTGTAATTTACTAGAAGATTACTTAATTAAATACTTTAATCCTTATATTACACCTGACAGATAATTACATAAGTTCTTATATACCTAAGTGCTATTTATTCTAACTCTGATCTTCTTGTTTGTACATCTGTTAAGCTATTATATATTTTAAAATATATTACTTAACTGTAGAATTTCAAAGAGTCCTCTTATTAACTAACTACTCATATTTAGTTACTGTTAACAGAGTTCATATTTGCAACATTCATTTAAACCTCAGTATTACTTTATAATATATTTCTAGTACTTATAGTATACTTTTGCTTTTGATACTAGATTTTCAATTTAGATAGTTTAAAAGGACTATAAACTATTTCTAATATTCTAAAGTTTTGTTTTTTAATATTCTTTTTTTTTGGTTCAAGACTTCTAATAGTCTCATTGATAATACCTCTTACTTGAGGTTCTTGTCTACTTAATTTCTTTATATTAGTACCTATTTTTTAGATCTAGCTTTTACAATAATATTATTAAAGATCTGTATTATCTCTTTACTTAGATCTTTTTCAAATAGACTTCTTGTTTTCTAATTTATATAATTACAAGAACTTATCTAATGTCTGTACTGCCTAATATCAGTTTATATTTTTTTGTATAACCTATTACACAAATGTCTTATAATCTGCTAGTTTTGTTAATACAATTACTATTATAGTTACCTTAACTTAATTATTGAAAACAATTGCTATAATATGAATATTACATAAATAATAATCTAAATTTTCATTATTAATAGGATTTAAATATCCAACCTACTATCTGAAAGGTTAACAACTTATTCACTTTACTAAGTCACTACATTTCTTTAAAAACTAAACTTAAAAAACAAATATTAATATAAAAGAATTAGATAGACAATAATTTTAAGATAAATTGTAAAGAAAAATATTTAATATATTAAAGACAAATTACAATTTTTCTAAGTTATTTGAATTAAGTTTTTTTTTTTTTTAACTTTTGGCAGCTATGCTAATATTTTATTTAGGTAACTTTTAAAAGTTACAATAAAGTTTTCTAAGGATATATTTTTATTATTCTATTTTTAAATATTAACTTATTCAATTACTTTTTAGAGTATCTATATATAACCTGCTATAGTAGATATTATCTTAATACCTATTATTTCAAATTAATTAAAGCTTCAAGATATATCACTAAATGCTTTTACAGACTTATTGTAACTGCTAAATTTTTAAATTTCTCTTTTCTAATTATTGAACAAGAGGATTTTATAATCTTTGTCTAAAAAATAACAAAATATATAAAAGAAAAACTAAAAAAAAGAAGTAAAAAAAAAGGAAGAACTGATTATAAATCTAAATGTATACTAAAGAGAAAGAATAAATAAAAAAAGAAAAAGACAAAAAGAAGAAAAGGTTAAAGAAAAAACAAAAAACATAAAGATACTATTTTTGCTTATACTTAAAATTAAAAATTATATATAATACTAAATAAAAAATATCTTATATTTGCTTTATTTTTATATTATAATATATTCTATTTATCATGTAAGAAGAAAGGTCAAAATTTTTGTTTTCTTCTTGAGATTGACATATGTTATTTATTATAGGTCATGTATGTAGTATTATGAATTTCTTATAATTATTATTACTGATTTAGAAAGATAAACAATGTTGATTTTTTGAAGAAGATATGTCAGATTTTCAATTTTTTGGTAAAAATTTTGAGAGAAAAATCTAATAATAAAGGCTGAAAAAATAACCAACTTGTGAAAAAGTTGTAAAAGTTATGCTATATAGAGTATTATATTAAACTAAATAACTATTTAGACCTAAGTCTTTATAGTATTTGATAAAGCTCTAAAACTTATCTATTATTTCTTTGTTTAGTAGTACTTGTGTTTTATATCAAGGAACTTTGTTTACAAGAGTTTGGGTCTTTTTTATCTTTTTTTAGTTACAACTAATATGTAGTGAATAGTCTCTAATCTCAGTTACTCCAAAATAAAATTTTGTTATATATAATATAATAACCATATAATTTTTATAAATCAGGTTTTTAAAAAAAAGTTTGTATAAAGAATCATTAAGATTTGGATTAGATATTTAAAAACAAACAGAATTATATTAAAGTATTATAAATATGCTATTAAGTTGATACTAGGCTTCAAGTAAACTTTACAAATACATAATTTTGTTAATAGTCTATAAATAAGTAGATTAGTTAACAAAAAATTATCTAAAGTTTTATAATTAGATAATATTCTCTAAAATAGATAACAGTTAAACAGATATATTTAAAAAAAGACTATATGTTAAATTAAATAACACTTAAATATATAAAAGTTTGATATTGATTAAAAAGAATAAATTCTTTCTGCCAATCTCTAGTTTTAAAACAGAGCAGAAAATAAAATATAAAATATAACCAAAACAAAATAGCAAATAGTTTTTGGAACCTTAAGAAAAAAAAGTTTATGTTCAAGAATACATAACTATAATAGAAGTGTAATAATAAAAAATATATTGTTAACTGGTTGCCCCGTGTAGTTGTAATGCAACCATTAGCCAAATATACTATCAATAAAATCCTGGATCGCAAGTACTCACCTTAATATTTAAAAAAAAAAAAAAAAAAAAATATATATATATATATATATATATATTATTAACAAACTAAACTTGCTTTAAGAAAAATTTTCTTTTTTTTAATATAAAACTCAAAAGTTTAGAGAATTATAATTAACCTTAAAAAACAAAAAGAAACTATGTGATTGACTAAACAACAACAAACAACAAATAACAAAATTATGTTCTCAATTAGAAAATAGATAGATAGATTAGTAGTAGATAGTAATATAACACAGGATGTATATAAATAACTTAAACAAAAAATATTGCAGTATAGAAATCTAACAAATAGATCAAATAGATCAGGTTACTGACACAGACATTATGTATTACATTAAGGAGACAGGTAATAAAAATCGAAATTATTTAAATTCTGAATTATTAAATCAAATTTTAACAATATCTGCAAAAAAACCAAGCAATATAAAACATATAGCAAAGAACCTAGCAATAAACAACCTAAACTATATTACACTAAGTGATGTACTACTCTATAGACAAATTCTTAAGGTCTTAAGTTTAGCAGAAATAAGTTAACTTGAAGAAGATATAATAGATGAATGGGTGCAAAGACTCAGATTAATAAATCAGAACTCAAAGTTAACTAAATATATTATAAATATAAGTAAAGAAAAAATACTTAAAGAAAAGAAAATAAAAAGAATAAAAAAGCTTAACAATACAGAAAAAACACAAACTTCAATAACAAAAAAAAAACATCAAAATGTAGCAAAAGAAGAAACACTTCAAAAAAAACTAATTCAAATAATAAACATAATTGTTAAATAAATAGAAAAGCTAAACATCAATGTATAACAAAATATGTAACTAAAAAATTTTTTACTAAACTCAAACCAAACATTTATAGACAAATTAAATAAAGCAGAAGAAGCAAGAAAAAAAAATATAAAAAAGAACATAGAAGTACCAAAAGATAATATTATCCAAGATATTAGAAAAAATATAGAAAACATTGACAAAAAAATAATAAAATTAAAAAAAAAAAACATAACCTATAGAGATTTAATTCTTATTGACACAATTGAGCACAGCCAATGGTCATCAGAAAATAAAGTATATAGCAAGAACAAGTCCTTTAAGGCAAATATGCTAGCATATATTTTGCCAGAAGAATCAAGTGATGAAAGAATAAAATATATGCAATGGATTTTTGGTAAAAACCATCACATTAAAGCAATTAAAGAAGTTTCAAGAATGAAAACAACTAAGTAAAAGTAGACTTTGATTGTAAATATAGTCAAGATGCAACAATAAACAGAATTTAAGAAAAAGATGATGAATGACTCAAGCTTATTCCAGAAAAGGTAAAGAACAAAGAATCAGAACTTGAACAACAAGTTAAAAATAACAACAAAAAAGATAAAAAAAAATACAAAAACCAATCTAAAAGAGAAGAATATAAAAAGAAGACTTTTTATGACAAAAAATGAAACAAATTTATATAACTACTTTATAATATGGAACTTATCTATGAACATCAATATAGAGAAAATCAAGCATATGTACAAAAGTTTCAAGAAGGTACAAATAATACATATTAAAAGATCTAAACACAAGGCATTAGCAGTAGTTTAAGTAAACCAACTTACTGATAAGAGCATTTTATGAACTTTGCCAATTAGTGTTTACAAATTGGCAAGAATAACTAAAGATGATAAAGATTACACCCAACATGATCTTCAAAACTTGTTTACAATAAGATTAACAGAACTTCTAGGCAATGCTTCAGAAGTTTTGTTACTATACTGCTTAAAAAACAAAGGTGCAAAATCAGTTTACATACTATTTAACAGAAATAGAAACCAAAAAAAAGCAGCAACAAATTATCTTTGCATTAGAAGAAGAAATAGAAACAGTACAATTCAAATCAATAAGATTTAACAATCATCTTCTATATTGAAAAAATTTTCAAGAAAAGTAGAATAGAAAAAAAAAAGGTGGCAACAGTCAAGACATTTAAATACAGAAGATGTATATATCAATAAAACAAACAAGAGAAGATGATCTCAAACTACAAATGCAAGACTTGTTTCAAAAAATCTTAGAAAGACTAGATAAACTCAAAGTTTAACAAGACAAATCAATAGAAAAAATACAATTAGAAATAGGAGAAGGCCCAGCTGATCACTTCTAAGAGTACCTTAGTTGAACTAATAAAAACAGATGAGAAATTGAAGGTTTTTTATAAAGAGAAAGAGAAATATTTGAAAAAAAGCATAACAACTTCTCATCAAAAAGAAAAGAAAACTAAAAAAAAAAAAGCAGAAAACATAGAAGCAAAACAAAACTAATTAAAAGAAAAATAGAAACAAGAGAAAAAAAAAATTAAAATAGCATGTCATAATGTTAGTAGATTAAAAACTAAAGAGTGGAAGCTTAAAAATCTGCTTAGCTAGACAGAAGAAGAGAAAATTGTAATATTAGAAGTTATAGAAACAAATATTACTGAAAGAGAAAAAGGTTTCTAACATATATAATAAACAAAAACTATATAAAGTACTAGACAAATGCAGCAGAAGATAAAAAAAAAGAATTAGATATAAAAATCCTAATATAAGAACAATAAGAAAAGCATATAAGTGCAGTTAAAAGAATAAGTAAATATATGATAGAGATCACATTATACTTTAAGCAATGGGAGTTAGTAGTAATAGGAGTCTATATATTACCAAGTAACAAGATGTTAGAGAAAAACATTCAACAAAAGATTATAGAAATAGTTACTAAATAAAAAAGACAAACACAAGTCATAATTATGGATAACTTTAATCATACAGCAGACAATATATTAGATAGACAACACTTAAAATTAGCAAATTTTAAAAGACTATTGATCTTTAATTGGATAAGAAAACAAGACTTCATAGACATATATAGAGATAGGCATCCAACAAGCCAAAATCACACATAGTCAAACAAAGAAGCTATAACAAAAATTGACTATATTTGGATATCAGAAGAACTGGCCTTGGGTTTGCAAAGAGCAAACATTGAGAAAACAAAAGAAATCACAGAAAGTGATCATAAAATAATAACTGCAGAAATATGGATTAAACATATAATAGAAAAAAACAGTAAAGCAAAAGTTAAAAAAAAAGAACAATCAAAAACATTATATTTGTATTATTAGGCAAAATAAAAAAATTGGAAAAATTATATGCAAGAGCTGCAAAAGTGATTAGAAGTAAAAAAAACTCTAAAAAATATTCAAACAGAAGTCAAGATATAGAAAAACATATAAACAAAATAAATAGTATATAAGATACAATAGAAGAAGCAATTATCACTGCAGCAAATAAGCACATATCTAAAAAAAGAATATACAACATAATGGCAAATAGAAAAACTAGTTAAAAAGCACAACAACAAGAAAAAGATATTATAAAGCTACAAAGATTAATTAAATATGCAAAGATGAGAAAAGACCAAAAAGCAACAGAGAAAGAAAGAAGTAAGACAAATAAACAATTAAAAGCACTAGATAACAAAATAGGTGCAAAACTACCAAAATTACAAAGACATTGACATATAGGGGTAAGTCAATAGAAATGCACTATAATTTTTCTAAA